AAATAGACTTACTACCTCTGAGTACTATCGTTGATCCTTTATAAAGAACTAGTTGGGATATAGATTTAATCGTAAATATAAGATATCAGTTCACTTTGTCTTTTATTTTTTCCAAAATATCCTGGTTGATTGTAAAGAATTCCTACCAAAAGATAATTCTTATCATCCAATACACGTGATTAAAGAGCCTAACCTACATTTGTCACTGTAGTACAACATAGGAAGTCTATAATGAAATTATGATCTAACATTTAAAAAGTTGTCATGAGAATTAATTATATTTGCCCCCTTATATCTCTATTAATTACCAGAGACATGAGAGAGATAATAAACAAAAGTGTGCTAAAAAATACTTTGTTACTTTCTAATCACATTCTTTAAAGATAAAATAGAGAGTATATCCAAATCTGTTGAAGATCCAGCTCTGTTTAACATCCAAATAACTCAACTCATCAAAACGTGCTGAAAGACTCACTGACTAACAATTCTATTAAGCGAACCATCAAATCCTTTTAGGATTGAACCACAACTTTCCACTTTACAAAAGAGATTTTAGGCTTCAAGGCTAATGACACATTTCTTTGTATAAGCGATAATTTTATGATTGTAATGGTGGCTAAATATAAGAAGAGAAAAACAGCCAAGGCAAACAAAAGCTTTAATCAATTAGTCACTTTCAATAAGTTTCACCAAAATTTAAAAAAAAAAACCCTAAACTTAATTAACTTTGCCTTAAAATTTAAGAAATTTTCAGCTTCGTGTCTATTTAAAATATACATTTTTTAATAAAATAACAGTATAATAATAAATAAATAATAAAATAGCATATTTATGCAAATATTTAATTTGTGACTTGCAAAAAGAATTAAAAAAAAAAAAAACCTTCTCTCCCTATCTTGTGAATATGACTAGGGAAGTAATTAACCAAATATGCTGCGTTTGCCCATTGGAAAAGGACTTGAGGACGGAAAAAACAAGAGAGAGTTGCGGTGAAACTTGTCTCATAAATGGACAAAACAGCATAACCCATGATAGAAATTCAAAAGCAAGTTTAAAATCATCATCTGTTGTTTAAAATAAGCAACGACGTACGTTCTCTTGATTAGAGCGAGCAGTACAATTTTTGTATTCATACTTTTGGTAGGTTTGTTTATATATAATTTAGAGTTAAGATGGAAACTTATTTCCAAAGTTCTTATCCAAAAGTATTGGGCATTGGAAATTTTTTTTTTTGAGTTCAATATTGCCTCTAAAATTTAAAATGGTAGTACTTTTGCTTCCTATAATTAAAAATCTTAACGATTAGTAGCACTACCTTAATGGTCAATATTAGTTTTTTAATATTAGGAGGTAAAATTGCTACTCCTCTGATCTTTAACATAAAACCTATTTAACTAATTTGATTAGATTAAGAAAATTAGGTAAATTAGTTAACTATAATAAATATGACATGTTTTTCTTAAAATATCTTAATTATTTTCATTATATATTTCCTCCCTCTCATACTTAATTATGGTTGAGGAAGTATTAGTAGGGATGATTTGGAAAAAACTGATAGATATAAAAAATAGATCTTATATTTAGGATCAAAATCAACTTCAGTCCTATATTAAGGATCGGAGGAGTAATATTTTAAACTTCTGAGGTAATATTTAACTGAAAAAACATTCGGATGGCTAGGGCTCTAAACTGAAAACCTTTCAGGATAAGTTTGTGCATTAATCCTTTTAATTTTTCATTTTGTGGTTTGAACCTTGAAATAAACGATGACTATTGACTAAAACGACCAAAACAGTCTCTGTGTTCAAACTTGTTAACTTTATTTATATTTAATTTATTTGATCTTGTCGCTAGGAAACTTCAAAGCAATGGACAAGGGAAAACCTTATATGAAACGATTGTTAGGTTTCTTGGGGTAAAAAAAAGAAAGAAAAAGAAAAACTGTGCGATAGAAATATAATCTGAAAATACATTTCAGCTATTACAGTCACTCATTTCCCTTTCAGTTCTTGCTCCCTAAGTTCCTTTAAGAGCATATTACAGTTAGTGTTCACTTATTCTCACTCACTTTTTAAAAATCACTAACATCTCATCTTTATTAACTTTAAAGAAGAAGAAGATAACAATCTCTCTCTAAACTTAAAAATCATATCAGACTTTTTCTCCATCACTACCTATTCACTCATGCATTTAAACACTCATTTTTACATTATTTAACTATTACAACCCAACTATACTTAACAAGTTAGCTCAAAAGAACAAAAAATTTTGAGAAAAACAGTTTACCTCACACACCAAGTATCATTTTTCCCTCTTTCTTCTTTGTTTCGAACATATCAGATTGCAGAGCATTTTTGTAAAATGGGTTGCAATTAATTTCAGTTTGCCCTTTGGGTCTTTTAGTGGTATTTCAGAATCTCTAGGTGAAATTTCAGAATTTTTTGGAACAGTTTGAAATTAGTTCTCATCTGCGGTCCTTAGTTGAAATTTTCTCAAAATAGTTTGTTACTTTCTATTCACATTCTTTAAAGATAAAATAGAGAGTATATCCAAATCTGTTGAAAATGATCGAGCTCTGTTTAAAATCCAAATAGCTTAACTCATCAATACATATTGAAAGACTCACTGACTAACAACTCTACCAAGCGAACCATCAACTCCAATTCCCTACTTCTCTAATGACTAGTTGCATGAAGATTTAGAATTATTCTGTAAAGTAAAATTTACTTTTACAGACTTTTCCCTTTCTGTGGTATTTCAAGTGTTTTCTTTGTGGAGAGTTTTGTCACTTTAGTTTTGCTTAAAGTGAATATTGAACAATATATACAACTTATATATATATATATGGTATGTTTGGATTCGCATTGGGTAAAATTGACTTCTAATCTAACTGACTTTTGTAACTGACATTAGAGTAAAAGTCAGTTAGTATAATGCAATTTATGTTTGGATAGATGCTTTTAAAAGGTCAGTTGAAAAAGTTAAAAGTTGTTTGGATGATTAATAGAAAAGTTAGTTTAGTTGTAAAATGACTGAAAAGGGCATGGAGTAATGTTAGAAATTTTATATTTTTAATATGATAATAGTTTAAAAAAACACGTAAAATTATTATGATAAAATATAAATAGTTTATTTGTAAAATTATAGAATAAAAATATTTGTTACGGAGAAAAACTTGAAAATACATTGTAGATAATTAATTAAAAATATATAATGGACAAACATGAATATAAATTAAAATTTATTTGATCTCTAATTAAAGTAAATAGAATCACATAACTAATTAGATCGTAAGCTTTGCATAACTTTCCCATAAGTCAGTTAGAAAAGTTGATCCAGATTATATTGGATAAGTCAGTTAGAAAAGTTACCTTTTTCCATAAGTCAATTAGGAAAAAAGTCCCATTCAAACAATCTTCCGAGCTACAATAAACTACAAATCTCAGTTTCACGCTTTCCTGTGTGTTTTTGCCATTTGTAACAGCAATCCAAACGAGCCCATAAATGCAAAGGGTCTCTCTACTTCCATTTTCCTCTGTTTCTGTTCATTTCCTATTTCGACTATTAAGATTGAAATTTTAACGGTTCAAATTTCACATTTTAAAAAATAATTTTATAAAATATTTTTTATTTTTGTTTTGAATTATCCAGATTAAAATTTACTAGTTTAATTTTTTTATTTTTAAAAAAGTTTAACATTTTGTTCATAATTTTATAAAATATGAAATTTGGACGGTTTTAAAACTTCAATCTTATGGTTAAGATGAAAATTGGATGAAAATAGAGAGAAAAAGAAGTGGAAAAACCCGTCTCTCATATATGTATATATAGTAATTAGAGAGACAGACCCAAACCTCAATGCCATGGGAGGAATTTTTGAGTGAGAGGGAAAATGCGACATAATTTTGTTCTTGGGTAACATGAGTAAAATAGTGACGGAGAGAGGGAGAGCTAAATAAAACTAGTAGACAAAATTTTCCATTGTCTTCACGTTAAAATATTACATTAACAGAGTTTAAAAAAAAAAAAAAAAAAAGGTTCCGGGACTGGATCGATTTAGAGAGGATGAAACAGCAGGGGCTGATTTTAAATGAACGTAAAAATGCAGGGAGATAGGATCAGTTTTCTCATCTTGGTGCCCACGTCTCTCAGTTTGTAAACAACTTGTTGGTTAAGTTTCTCCGTTTGAGGAGTTGGAGCGGGCAACCCAAGTCGAGGCTTGCTTATATAAGAGTGAGACCCATGTTGGGTACGTGAACTCTCAAAATTTAGCCTCTGCCCTTTTTTTTTTTTCCTCCCGGAAATCAGAGCTACAAGGGTGGAATTTTGCTTGCTTAAAAGGGGCAAAGATCAAATTCTTTCAGAGAGATGGAACACAAGCACGTTTTGCTGTCGGCATTGGGTGTTGGAGTTGGTCTCGGAGCAGGCCTTGGGTTGAGCTCAGGCCTTGTTGGAGGGAATCGCGAGTCAGCTGATAAGCTTTATGGCGAACAGATCGAGCAGGAACTTTCGAGGTGGTGATTGATGGAAAAGAATGCAAGGAAACTTTCCAAGACTTTCCTTATTACTTAAGGTGATTTAGCGTTTGAGCATTTCCTCATCTCGGAATGTTCTGTTCAGCTGCACTTTTTTTTTAGTTTTTAAAAGAGATTTTTTTTTTTTTTTTTTTTTGCGGTTCTGATTGATTCCTGATGCTGTAATATACTGGTGAACATGGTGTTATGTTCTACTTTCAAGGAGTTTGATGTGATTGACTTGAGACTTCTATTCTTAAGTAGCATGACTTTGTAAACACCAGGTTCCTTCTGGTTCAGATTTCTTTTTTTTTTTTTGACCAGCACTTCTGGTTCAGATTTCAAATCCTATATGAATATGATTTATTATTACTCTTATATATATATATATATATATATATATTATAACGTAAGTCATATTCAATGGCATTGACAGTGAAAGAACCCGAGAGCTATTGAAAAGTGCTGCGTCTGTTCATTTAAAACACCTTCCTTCTCCAAACATACCAGGAACCTTTCACCAGCAAGCAGGGCAATTCTGCTTCATGGGCCTGCAGGTATGTTATGTAGATGTCTTATGTACTCTCTTGATTATGTTCCTGCACAAGATTGTGTTGGGTTTTCATGTTTGTTTGACCCACGTAAGCGTCATTTTCATTTTTCAATCTGCTTTTTGGGCAGAGTTTTACCTGCAAGCGCTTGCCAGGGCTTTAGCACATCACTTTGAATCAAAGTTGCTGCTGCTAGATGTGGCTGACTTTTCTTCCAAGGTGATTGTTTTCGTATTGCTATGTCTTTTGTGTGAATTGAATAAGCTAATATTCATATCTGATCTGTTTCTCTTTTTACAGATCCGGAACAAAATATGGTTTTGCAAGACAAGAACCAGTAAGTCTTTTCTGCTATACATTTGCTCCGCCAAAACCCCCCGGGGGGGGGGGACGCTCTGCATTAAAACAGAAGATACTTCTCTTTTTACATGATGAAAATATAAGTATTTTCTCCATTTTCCTTTCTAGTCATATTTCAAAAATGAAACACGAAGTCACCGACACGTGAGTCGGGTTGTTAGGTGATTTCCCTAACTCTTTTTTCTCTGTTTGTAGTTTCTAAAATATCCTTATCTGAGGTGGCTTCCGAGAGATTGTCTGGTTTGCTTTGTTCCTTTTTAGCAGCTCCCTTCGAATGGCAAAACAAAAGGTAGGGAAGGGAAGAAAAACAGGCCTTTGTCCCCCGAAATTATCATATTCTAAGCATTAAATTATACTTTATGGAGAGCTTATGATTGATTCAACTGTGATTGATTCGGCAATGAGTGGTGCTGTATCCTTGTTCAATGTTAATTATCTCTTATAGTGATCATAGTCGTGAACTCATGATCTTGCAATTGTATTATATCACA